AAAATTTGAAATGTATTAAAGTGTAAATTCTAATTGTAATGAAACACTATTCTTTGACCTGTTAGATAATGGTGGATATTCTGGAGCTCGTATGACACAGGGGGATTGTGTTTTACCTTTTTGGTCAGAAATAGATGACTTAAGAGGGCTCTCACTGGAAACCTAGTTTCTTGGGCATGAAGATTATTTCTACTGACTAGCCTTCGCCCTCAGGATCTGTAGCCCAGGAGACAGAGATCAGATTAAGCAGAGGCCCCTCAAAATCCATCACCTTGAAAATGATGCTTCTGGTTGAGTTGGCAGAAAACTGTCTAGCATAGGAGAGGAAAGTTGGAGAAACGGCACCCCTCAATTACTTTAGGGGATCATTTCATATTTGAATAGCGACAAGCAAAATTTGCAGCATAAATAATTGATAAAGGAGTCATATCCAGAATATATAAAAAATGTCTTACCAAGAGTACCAAAACAACCCATGAGGAAAATGCACAAAATAGGAACAGGAGGTTACGGGAGAGGAGACGTAAATGAGGAAAAGAACAGTCAATCTCACCAGCAATCAATAATTGTAAATTAGCATAACACCAAGATGTCATTTTATCCCCATGAGGTTAGGAAGGTTTTTAAAAGACTTGCCATGCGGGAAGGAGTTATGACTGTTCATGTGGAGGCCTCTCGACCACGTCGGCTTCTGCCTGGAGCCTGGGCGCTTGGGTTTCTGGAGGGTTCTCCTGGAACTCCCTGGCCAGAGTGGCTCGCTGTGCTTGAGCTGTTTGTGCAGAGATACTGTATGTCTGTGCTTCCCTTCCGAGGGTCTAGAGGGGTTTTTCTTGCCAGGCAGAGGCTGCCTGCGTGACCGGTTCCTGGTGGAAACTCTGGGCCCTGGGCGCCTAATGAGCTGCCCGGAGAGGCTAATGGGCAGCATTGCAGTGTTGTTATAACTCGTCCTGGGAAGTAAGTGGGCGGCTGCACTGGGGAGGACTCTGGGAAGCTGGCACCTGATGGACTTTGGACTTCATTGCCCCGCGAGCCTTTCCTTTTACTGGCATTGCTCGGCACCTTTCTGCTATAATACATAATAGCTATGAGTTCAACTATATACTGAGTCCTGTGAATCTTGAGAGTGAATCATCAGATCTGGGGGTGGTATCAGGGCCCCTGATGCATTAATAATAGCACGTGTTGCCCTGAGTGTGGGGAAACAGGACCTCTAAAAATTGTTGGTGGCAGGTAAATTGGCACCACCGTTTGGGAGAAGAATTTACCAGTATCTAGGAAAGTTGAAGTTGTTTGTGCACATTTCCAGATTTAGATAGTCTAGAGAAAAAAATTAACAGATTCGTTTTAAAAAAGGCATTACCGCGGCATTGTAGCATGGTTGTATTGTCACGAAGGAGATAGTCTCACATTCTTTATAGGAGAAATATATTTTGATTTTTTTCAATCCTCACCAGAGGATATTTTTTCCATTGCTTTTCAGAGAGTGAAAGGGCGGGAGAGAGAGAGACACGCCGATGTGAGAGAGACACATTGATTGGCTGCCTCCTTTACATGACCGACCGGGGCTGGGGATAGAGCCTGTAACTGAGGTATGTGCCCCTTGGCTGGAATCGAACCCGGGACCCTTCAGTCCACAGGCCAACACTCTTAACCACTGAGCCAAACTGGCTAGGGCTTGATATATTTTTAAAATAGTACACAACATTTAAAAATAACAAATGGCATCAATTGATACGGTTAAATTTCTGTAAACTAATGTGAATTTTCAAAGCAGCAGTATATTGTTTTAAATGTAAAAGACAGAATTCTAGATATGTAGATAAAATATGAAAATATAAAGTAATGGCAAATTTAGGGCAGTCTAAGCCCCATTTTTTCCATTTGTATTATAAAACCCTCTTAAATTAAGCTCCAAATCCTCCTCTTCCTGGAGGAAGTTCTACACCTGTGTTTTCTTTTTCTTTTGCAAAACAAATCCCTAATTTCCAAGAAAGTGCAGATGCTATGGCAAACTCTGTCTTTCAACTTATTTCATTGGCTCACTGCCCTTGGCAATTAGGAGAAGGTTTATAGACATGTCCCCTAAATAATTGGCAATTAATTTAAGATTAGATCCCCAAAAGCACAGTATTCTTAATGTAATACAAAGGTTGAGGCTTTTCGCTTAAAATGTCACGGAACACAGTGAATGGTAACGGGCAGCACAGTTAACCCTGCCGTTCTGCAGGAGAGAGGAATTTCAGTTGGATGGCCATAAACTGTAGCTGGCTTGGGCTAGTTTTCGTGCAAAGCTCAAGTGTCAACCGGGAGTGTCTATGTCTTAATACCTCCCCGTGTAAGTCCCTGGCTTATCTCGATAGGTATTGCATATATGAACTACAGTCTACATGGGATAAGGAGATGTTATTTGAATATAATGCAGTTTGCATATCCATTCTCTTATTGATGGACGTTTGGGTTGTTTCTAATTTGGGCCTATTATATAATGAATAAAGTTGCTATGAAGACTTATCTACAGGTTACGAGTGCGTGCGTGTGTATGGGGGCGGGGACTTGTTTTCGCTTTGCTTGCATAAATAAGAGCAGAATTGTTGGGTTATTTGATTAGTGAAGGCTTAACTTTATAAGATGCTGCTAAATTGTTTTCCCAAGAGAAGGAACCATTTTATACACAACCTTGCTAACACTTGAGATGGTCAGTCTTTAATTTTTGCCATTGTAGTGGAATCTTACTGTGGTTTTAATTTGCCTTTCTCTGATAATTAATGATATTGAATATCTTTTCATGTACTTAATGGCCAGTCATATATATTCTTTCGTGTGATCAAACCTTGGAACCATTTTAGGGGGCAGTGAGTAGGGTGTTTGTCTTCTTCATTCAATAAATATTTGATGAGCAATTGAATATTTATTGAATGACCTAAGATTGGCTTGAATATGTGTATTTTCTTTTTGGCCACTTGAAATTGTAGGTATAATATAACTCAAGTAAAATAGTTCAGATTGGTTTTTGTCAGTATATTCTGTAATAATCAACCTTAGCAGGGAACCTTGTTTTGAAAATGACATTAGGATATAGACCAGTAGTTTCTTGCCCTGGGTAGGACATATCATTACCCTGACTATTCCTGTCATCCTCATGACTTACTCTTTTTTTTTTTTAAAATATATCTTTATTGATTTCAGAGAGAGGAAGGGAGAGGGAGAGAGAGTTGAAACGTCAATGATGAGAGAGTTGTCATTGATCGGCTGCCTCCTGCACGCCCCCTACTGGGGGTCGAGCCCACAACCCAGGATGTGCCTTGACCAGTGACCTCCTGGATCCTAGGTTGATCTCAGCCACTGAGCCATGCTGACCAGGCATGATTTACTCTTTTTGACCATGGGAACTATCATCTGAAGACATGAATATTGTGGCTCACATGGATTCTGAATTGCTGAATTGTTTCTCTAAGGCTAGAAATGCTCTTACCTAATTTTTATCTTGTCTAAAAATGGAAGGACAGTCTGAGCCTTGTTATTTTCCTCTGTCACTAAAGCGTCTTTCACCTTTAAGAATGAATGTTCCATAGGTTGATATACAGGCCTTCTGTAGGTGCTGCGGACTATAATTTGTGTTTATCATTAAAAAAATTAGTTGCCTTATTTTATGGCACATATTTGTAAGAAAATACATTTTTTAGCTTTATTTCTGTTCTGTTACCCATAGAGAATTACAAAGAAATAAACACATAGCTCCACCCAATTAACTACTGCTTAAACAACAATAATAAAAAAGAAATATGTATTTAGTGTTTGTAAATCAACACAGGATGGTGAGACCTCTGTATTTCTATCTGTCTATATACAAAAGAGTGATATCTCCTTCATTTCCCATGTTCAAGACCTTCTTCCTAAAGGAAACATTTAAAAAAGCCTCTCTGGCTCGGCCAGCATGGCTCAGTGGTTGAGCGCNATATGTATTTAGTGTTTGTAAATCAACACAGGATGGTGAGACCTCTGTATTTCTATCTGTCTATATACAAAAGAGTGATATCTCCTTCATTTCCCATGTTCAAGACCTTCTTCCTAAAGGAAACATTTAAAAAAGCCTCTCTGGCTCGGCCAGCATGGCTCAGTGGTTGAGCGCTGACCTATGAACCAGGAGGTCAGGGTTTGATTCCCAGTCAGGGCACATGCCCGGGTTGTGGGCTCGATCCCTAGAAGGGGGCGTGCAGGAGGCAGCGGATCAGTGATTCTCTCTCATCGTTGGTTGATGTCTCTCTCTGTCTCTCTTTCCCTCTCCCTTCCTCTCTCTGAAATCAATAAAAACATATTCAAAAAACAACAGCTCTGATGATTCCTTCCGTTAATACCTGGTCTCTCCTTTTCTTCGTTTTCTTTTTACACAAAGAGGATCTGGCAGCACGCACTGTTCCACATATTTTCCCACAATATCTGCACATGAAGATCTAGCGTTTGCCCAGTAATTACCATTTGGATGAACTATACTTAAATTAGCTGATCCCTGGTGGTGGTTTCCAGGTTTTTGTTTTATTTTTATTTATTTGCTGTTATAAAATCGGTGCAATAAATACCACTGGAGATCCTGGCAGACTTTTCCAGGTATATCCGTAGGGCAAAGCCCCACCAATTGGATCCCTGGTCCAAGAACATTTTGTAATTGTCAGCTTTGGGGCCTCAGCCGTTTGCTCTCTCTAATCCTGTCTGCAAATGTCTATGGCACGTATTTTTACTGTAATAGCCCAGTTGAAGTTCTTTGTTATTTCAACCTTCTAGTATGATGTGAAATGGGCCCCCCAAATTAATGCTGTTTGAATGCTGTTTTAGCATTGTTACACCCTTGCTTGCTTTCTCCCCCGCAGAGACAAACCTAAAGTCAGTCCTGCTAATGACTCGGGGGCTGTCTGGGAGGGCTCCTGTGGCTTCCCGCACAGCCTCCTGCTCGGCCTCTGGGGCCCGTGGGTGATGTGTGTGTCTGTTTTACTCATTTCCTGCAGGAGGAAAGCTGAACAAGGACCTGCGACACTTTCTCAGCCAGCGGTTCCAGAAGGGCTCCCCTGACCACGAGCTGCAGCAGACCATCAGGGACAACCTTTACCGCCATGCTGTGCCTTGTGAGTAGCCGCGGGGGCGTCTCGGCCGGGC